CATGTCTTACTTGCTCAAGCTGAAGGTTTCTGGGCCAATCATGAGAGTATATAGCTTTGTGCGCGGCCTTTAAAACGTGCCATTCTCTACGTTCTTTCATAGGCAACCAGCCTAACTTAAGAATAGAGTCAATATTGTTCACATAGCGTCCAAAACCAAAAGTGGCTGCCGCAAACTGGATGCGCTGTAACCTTTTTAAAAGGCAATCAGTAATTGGATAGAAGATTATATCATTAAAGTCTAGGCGAGATAGAACCAGACATTCAACTAAATGTTTTCTAAGATGGTAGTTTGTAAAGTTCTTGATTTTCCTCAGCGCAGCTAGGACACCGTAACAAGATGAGGCGAGATGCTTGACATGATCATCCCACTTCAAGGTGTCAGTAATGTGAACCCCAAGTAATTTAATAGAGTGAACACGCTCGAGGGGTTTATCTCCTACAGATAAATGTATAGTACGTTCAGCCAGAGAATGGTAAGACGACATCTGAGGAGTTGAGAACAACATACACTTAGTCTTTGCAGGGTAACCCCTGAAAGGAAGTGAAGTGACCCCTGAAAGGAAGTGAGGTGGTTCCATTACTGGTAAAGGCGGGTCTATGGTTATCACATTACCTTCAATTTATCCTGTTGTATAAATTAGCTGTCACAAAAAGGATATTCTTAATGTTCTCCAATCAGGTGGTCAATTGATTATCAAACCGACGATAACACAACAAGGTGGTTTTTTCGGAACTCTACTAGCAAGTATAGGAGTGCCTCTGCTGTTAAACGCATTGACGGGAAAAGGGCTTCAAGCCGACAAAACCGGTACCACTAATACAATGTCAGTATATGTTCCTGTAAAGGTAGAAGAATGATTAATCCATATGCATATATGTCACCACCTTTAGATGAAACATGGAACAATCCAGTTGGTATGGGAGTGAAAAAAAAAGAAGGGGACAAGGGCTGCTGCTTGGCAAAAAAAGTCCATTCAATTCAATCCCAATTCTAGGAACAATACTATAAAATTCATCAACAAACCATCGTCAAATATTGATTTGTTACACTGGGTCAAACAACTTGGAACAAAATATTTCAGACTGGTATTTATAGCCGCGATATTTTACCAGAGAAAATACACAGATTGGAAACAGGAATAATTAATCTAGACGATTCAATAGGGCGAGGGTCTCATTGGGTTTGTTATAGAAATGTGGATAAACAATTTTGTGAATACTTTGATCCGTTTGGATTAATCATGCCTTATCAGATTAAAAATTATCTCAAAACAAGTGGTAAAAAAAATTGTGTTTTCGTCAGATGAAATACAAGAAAGAGACAGTGTTTTGTGCGGTTAATGATGCTTATATTATCTTTTGGAGAGACAAAAAGGTAAATCATTATTAGATGTTATGCATAATACCAAATTCAGTTTCACAGATCAAATGATAAATCACAAATTTTTAACAAGTTAATTTAAAAATAAATTAATGTAATCCATATATATAATATGTCAGAAAAATTCTATGTATATTGCCAAGAAGTTACTCCGCATTATGTGAATCAGTATGGTGTTTTAGAATGCTGCAACTGCGAACCACTAAGTAGCAGTGAAAGTGAGTATGAGACGGATAGTGATTAAACGATATTTATTACCTCTATTCAGTGATTAGAAGAAAAAGCTACCCCGGCGAAACACCGGGTCAGGTCCCAGACCATTTTTATATAACATATTTTTCATATAAGAATGGTGAAATCTTATTGTGTTAAACAGAAAAAAACAGACAGAATGTGTAGAGCCTTCGGGTTATAAAACAGCCAAAAATGGTACACTTATGTTTGGTGCACTTGTGCTGAATGCGGAATAAAAAAATTCAAATTTGTAAAATCAAAAAACTAGATCAGCCTGCCCTTGGGGCAGGCGAAATAGACACAGTAGCTGGTACAGCACTTGACATGTTTGTGCATCATGGGCTTCCTTGGATGGGTAAAAAAGCAGTTGAGATGGGAAGATATTACGGTTCACAGGCGCTCAGAAACCTAAATTACAGTAAAAAGCTATCAATTACGCTTTGAATAATTGAATCCGATGATTCAGAATGCCGGTTCTCAAGCTCTTGACCAATTATCAACAAAGATCAGTCCAAATAAAAAATATAAAACAAAGAGGAGAGATCTTGATGGAGGTGCTTTGGATATTCGGAAATTAATCGGTAAAGTACGAAGACCAAAAGCAGGATGGACATCAGGTAATTACAAATACATGGGGCCATATAATCCATTAGACCAACAATTGGAATGTAATAAAGATACTGGCTAGATTACAGGTAAAATCACCAGATGAGATTCCCTATGGAGAAATACCTAAATGGGGTAAAACAGCTAGATTCCTAATTGATAAAAAGCAGAAACTCGGACTCGGTTTAAACTAAAAAAAGCCTTCGGGTGAGCAAATAAGTTGGCAACAGCAATTGGCAGATGAATTACACAAACCCATAAAGCGCAACTTTACACGCCGGCGCTTTATTGTCATCGTTATCGATAAAATTTGGTGCTCAGATCTGGTTGAAATGCAACAGTTCAGCAAACGGAACAAAGGTTATAGGTATCTTCTCATGGTGTTAGATCTGTTCGGCCGTAAACCACAATATCTATGGACTGATAAAAATAAAGAGTATTATCACAAACATATGAGGGAACTGTTGGAAAAGAATGGCATAACACTATACTCAACCGAGAATGAGGAAACATCTAGTGTTTGTGAAAGATGGAAGTCCGTACCATCAAAATCAAGATGTGGAAGGAATTTACTGTCCAGGGTAATACCCAATGTCTCAGTATACTACCAAAAATACTGGAGCAGTATAATAACACCAAACATAGTTCCATTAAAATGACACCTGTAGGAGCCAGCAAAAAGAAGAATGAAAGTATCGTATATTTTAACCTATATGGCGATATGGAGCAATTATCATCTAAGCCGAAATTCAAGGTTGGTGATAAAGCCAGGATAAGTAAGTATAAGAGAAAAATATTTGACAAAGGCTACACACCTAATTGGACTGAAGAGATAT